TTTTTTTTTTTTTTTCATTTGATCTGTGGTCAGTTGCTGTGTTCACTTTCACTTCCTTGTGTTGAAATAGTTTCAGCCAGGGGTGAAGGAGAACTGGCTCATAAAACAACTGAAACTGAGTAGAAGTACCTGTCATGCAACTGGAAATAAATGGAACAGTGTCACATGGGAATTCTAGCATTATTTCCAAAAAGGAAGTGTTTTATTTTTTTTTATAGTTTGTAAAATCTTAGAATCAATTATCTTGGATTAAATTGAGTATAATTTTCCAAATATAATGACAGTGGTGAAGTGGAACTGAACTGTCCTGTCCTTCTCATCTGCTCCTGCTTATAAAGCTGCACGTCGTTCATCCAATTTTGCAAAAACTGGATAAAATACAGGATTGTTTATCTCTCACTTCTTTCACAAGTGCAGTGAAGCTTGACATAACCTCCAGATAGCGAGTGTTTCCCTGTCTCTGCGTCTGTTTTGTAGATGCATGCTCTGAGCTGGAGTCCCACCAGGGCTACTATGCCAGCCTGGTACAGAAATCAATGGGCCACAACAACCTGGCTACAGATGAGATCGAGCGCGACCTGCACCGCTCGCTGCCGGACCATCCGGCCTTCCAAAACCCCACCGGCATTGCCGCGCTCAGGCGAGTCCTCACTGCCTACGCCCACCGCAACCCAAAGATCGGATACTGTCAGGTAACGGTTTTAATGACATTAATTAAAACATAGAACATTTCTACCACAGACCAATGAAAAGTCTGAATAGGCAGATAAACCGACACAGAATAGTTTAACTGTAGGAAAAGAAGAGGAACTAGTCCAGCTGTGCGTGATTTAATCTCCATCTGCGAAGGCCTTAGATTGGATCAGAGTGAAGTTGAGAATATCTCCAACAATAGTCTGCTCTGATTCAATATGTTGTTTAGCCACATAAACCTTACCTCATCCTAGAACAGGTTACAAACTCAGGATGCTCAGATATTAGCTCCTTCCTGCAAAATAAATGAACCTCCAGTCTTTCCAACTCTCCAACAGGGTTTCCACAATACTGAAATATCAAAGTCAATAGCAATATCCAGGGAAATATTCCATTTGTGATACCACTTTTAAAAAAATTTAGCTTTTTCAATCTTATTATGGAACATGCCTTCTGTACAGAATCAATTATTACAGTTAAATAACTGTGCATGAAGTTTAATTAAAAAATATATTACTCGTAAATCTAAAATATGCTAAAAGTACCTGTCTTTAGTATTAAAACCACACAAAAACAGTGTGGTATCTGTGTCGATACTTTTGACAACCCGAGTCTCCACCAAATTATGTTTAACTATAGTTTGTTGTTCAGCTCTTTTTCTCCTCTTCTCCGAGAATAGATTAAATCGAAGTAGTGATTGGTTAATGAGGCATCTTGAAGCGTTTCGACACGTTGCCAAATTGTATTGATTATGCCTTGATACAATCTCACAAAATACTGACACCTGCTGGACCTTTAAAGACACTACAGGCAGCTTATTCGACAGACTAAACTGAATTGATTTGATGACCCAGTACAATGATATAAGTTAAGTTATTGTTTTATTTCATATCTATATTTAAATTGAAAATATCTTTGATGTTTTTACATGCAGTCAATAAACAATGTAGACGTATATCATAACGTGAAAATTTAGGGCAAATATGTGAATGAGGATGCTTGTGGACTAGGATTTCAAATTTAATAATAATCTGTTTAAAGCAGTAACTAATGTAAAAACAGTAAACAAACTGAGAGTCAACTTGAAATGAACTTTAATTCAGATAAGTTGAGTGATAACTTAGAGGAAAAGTAATACACAACGAGAAAATTTAAATAAAAACGCAACGGCTGAATGATGAATTTCAATGATAAACCTTAAAAGATTAGCTTTTTTTTTTTTTTTTTTAGCAGATGCATCGTGTTGAAAGTTTTTAAATACAGTTTAGTGTGTTAGCCAGTTAGAAACAACTCCTGTATCGGTCACATGACTTTCTCGAAATGACGCATGCACCAATAAAGTGTTTTGCCTTTATGGGCTCGACGATGCATCAAGTTAACTGTTACCAAGGTAAATGGCTTTTATTTCGGGCCTCGAAGTAAAGGGGGCTGAATTAAAAAGAAAAAAATGCTCCACTGTCTGTCTTTCACTTGAAAAGTGATCTGTTGCTCCAGCTGTTCACTATCCTTCTTCATCTCCTCCACCTGTGCAGTCTATGAACATCCTGGCGTCTGTCCTGCTGTTGTATGCCAAAGAAGAGGAAGCCTTCTGGCTGCTGGTGGCCGTTTGTGAGAGAATGCTGCCAGACTACTTCAACCGCAGGGTCATTGGTAACAGACTCAGAGCTTGTCATTGTTTTGTGGTTTTGTTTTCAAAGCTGTTGCTGCTCCGACACCAGAAACACCCAGATAGGCTTATTTTTAGCCTTTAAATCAATGGCTTATTTCCTGAGTTTCAGAGTGTTTATTTTTGACCCACCAGGTGCTTTTGAGGCAATTTCCGTTTCCTTTAATGTCTGCATGCATCTTTCATCTTTAAAGCAGCAGTGATTGTTTCCTGAGACTCTATATGCAGCATATATTACACAAAGAATGAGAGACAGTTAAATCCTGTTGGGTTAAACAAACAACAAGTTAATTTAAAAGATAACCTGGCTGGGTCTGTATCAGTGATCACACTGATGCTGCCATCTAGTGGCCAAAACCATAACATAACATATTTATTGTTGAAAGTTTATTTTAAATGTGATAAAATAAAATCCGTAATTATTTCCTGATTTTAAATCTTTTTCAGGCAACTTTTAAAAAGGAAAATATTAAAAAAAAAGTCAGGCGAACAGTATGTTCATTTCAGATGCAAGGGCGAATTTTAAAATCGTTTTGTAACTTATTTACATCTCCATTTTAATCCACCCGTTTGCTTATTCATTCTCCTTTTTGAACAAAGCCCATCCTCCCCATGAACTCAACCATTAAATACAGTGAGGAAAATAAGTATTTGAACACCCTGCTATTTTGTAAGTTATCTCACTTAGAAATCATGGAGGGGTCTGAAATTGTTATCGTAGGTGCATTTCCACTGTGAGAGACATAATCAAAGGAAAAAATCTAGAAATCACAATATATGATTTCTTAATTATGCATTTGTATGATAAAGCTGCAAATAAGGATTTGAACGCCTGAGGAAATCGATGTTAATATTTGGTACAGTAGCGTTTGTTTGCAATTACAGAGGTCAAACATTTCCTGTTGTTTTTCACCAGGGTTGCACATATTGCAGAAGGGATTTTGGCCCACTCAGTGGACTTTGGCCCGTTGGTTCTATTTTGGTCCCATCTGATCACATGACTTCATCCAATGACTCCTCTGGATCATCCAAATGGTCTTTGGAAAACTTAAAAGTCTTAGGGAGTCATATTTAAATTTGAAATCATTCTGGCTTAAACGTGTATATAAATCTACTTTTTAGATTTAGTCCAAAAATATAGAAAATTTCTATTTTAAAAAAAAAAATATATATATTTTTTTCGTGATCTTATGCAGGCCAGTTAGTTATGACACCTAAATCCAGCCAATCATATATCAACGGTTGTCTGTCAATAAAATTTTTTCGGTCATAGCATCTTGATTCATATGTCGCAGCTAATAAACGCAACGGTTGAAATCAGAAATAAAAATAATTTACTCTACCATTGAGTTCCGTCCCAGTGTTCACAGGGATGGACGTCTGTGTCTTCAGCAGGCATAGAGCTAACAGAACTGGCAGCGTTGCGAGGCAAGGGCTCAAACATGGACGGCTGGAAGCCTTCTACACCAAACCAAGCTTCTGCTGCCCTGGCGTCCTCTTCCACAACATCTTCGTCCCCACTTTCCTCCTCTAAATAAAAAATGTATCACGGAGGAGACTCATCCACGATCTCCAACACAAACCTCTCCTCCTCTTGCATGTTTCTGCTGTCCATAGCGTTCCTTCACAGTGACGTTTCTAAGTCACCAATTTAGTGCTACTTGGTCCCAATGGAATTTCCCATTGGAAACCTACTAGCACTAAGGTGCTTCTGAGACACCGGCCACAACCAAACTTGCTTGGAAACCTTCCACCACAAGAATCCCGCCCTCTTGATAAACGACCAATCACATTCACTCTATTCACTCGTATAAAGTTGTGGTCCACTCGGGAGAATTCGGAAATGCAACGGTTGAAACAGCCGTTTCCCTACGACTTTAAGATGGGCCTTGACATGAGCTGGTTTAAGCAGGGGAACCTTCCGAGCCATGAATTTCAAATCATGACATCTTAGTGTGTTACCAACAGGAACCTTGGAAACGGTGGTCCCAGCTCTGTTCAGGTCATTGACCAGCTCCTCCTGTGTAGTTCTGGGCCAATTTCTCACCTTGATCATTGAGTCCCCACGAGGTGAGTTCTTGCATGGAGCCGCAGTGGGAGGGAAAATGACAGTCATGTTTAGCTTCTTCCATTTTCTAGTGATTGCTCCAACAGTGGGCCTTTTTTCACCAGTTTGGCAGGTTCCACAGTAGCCCTTTCCAGCCTCGGACTATTTAGTCTAATGTCTCTTTGGACAGCTCTTTGTTCTTAGCCATGTTAGTAGCTGGATTCTTACTGATTCAATGGGGTGGACGGGTGACTTTATGCAGCTAATGACCTCAAACAGGTGCATCTAATTTAGGATAATAAATGGAGTGGACATTTTGAAGGCAGAATTCTGCCTAATAGACAGGTGTTCAAATACTTATTTGCAGCTGTATCATACAAATAAATAGATTTAAAAAATCATATGTTGTGATTTCTGGATTTTTTTCTTTAGATTATGTCTCTCACAGTGGACATGCACATACGTTGACAATTTCAGACCCATCCATGATTGTGGCAGAACTTGCAGAATAGCAGGGTGTTCTCACTGTACCTCTTTCACAGGTAGTTCAATGTTTTGATTAACAAGATAAATATCTAAAAAATAGACTTTTAATTTCATAACCTGTCATAAAGTACGACTGATTTTCTGCTGGTAGATTTGACACATCTGACTCTCATAACTGTATTTTGCACAGCAGGCATCAAATATAGATAATTATTTTTGATTATGTGTTTTTAAAAACTGCTGCCTTTAACCCTGCAGGGCAGAGTTGAAGCATGGTTGATATACCGCATCCTGTGGCATGCAGCTCTCTTTTTATACAAAACAGTTTCTGAACAATGTGACAAAGAGAACAAACAGAGATGGCTGCTGTGGTCTGTGTTTCTATTACTTCTAAACAAAAAGAAAGCCTTTTTGCTAAATATAAAAGTTGCTCTATTGACTCGCGCCCTAACCACTTGTTTTAAGGCGATGCTTTTAAAGCTGCTTTAGAATAGTCTGCTATTGTCTGTGTAAAAAGAAAACCCACAAAAACCTCTGTAATGTTTGAATAGAACTTGCAGTCGTTCGATCACAAAGCTCTGCGTCAGTGATGCCATCGCTCATGTCCACAGATGGTCATGTCATGTTTTGAGTATTGGATTCATAGAGCATTTAAAAAAGCTCTTTCTACTTTGCTAATATTTGGTGTAAAAACTAATACTCAACAACCAACCTGGAATTAGTATTCTACAGAGAAAGGGTGATCTATGACTTTGTCAATGTTTATGTAAGATGTCATCCTTTCCATATTAAGCTGCATGTTGCAACTGGTAACAAAGTTTCTCTGATCAGTTTTTTTTTCACAATCTTAACTGTCACTGATCAGAAGTATATATTCTGAATTTGCTTGATAAACTAAAAAAAGCATCCCATTGTTTCTTTCTAGTTTTTGTGGGACAATAAAATCCTGTTGTTCATATTAGAAGCAAAGCGAAAATGTGAGTGATGATTGGCTGGTTTTATGAACACGTTAAAAAGAAAAAAAAAACTAGGTTGAGCATTTTTCTAAGTCCAGCCTGTTTCATTAGAAAAAGAGGGCCAAAAAAAATCCTTCAGTCTTCAATTGCTATTCAGTTTATTTTTATAGTGCTAATTCAGAACACAAGTCATTTCAAGGCACTTTCCAGTTCACCAGATCATACAGTAAGATTGATTCAAAGTTTTCTATCAAAGGAAAACCAGTTGATTGCATTGACTCATTGACTTAAAGGCAATCCCTCACACTAAGCGTGCTTGTAGCGACAGTGGAGAGGAAAAACTCCCTTTTAACAGGAAGAAACCTCCAGCAGAACCAGGCTCAGTGTGAGCGGCCATCTGCTGAGGCCTACTTGGGTTCAAGGAGACGGAAGCAGAGATAAAAAAAGCAGCTGTAAAAGGCGGCCCCTTTCAAGAAAACACAGCCAGGCAGACGAGCTCCAAGAGCAGCTCCTGAATGAACAACTCACTGCTGAAGAAAATACAACTCTGACCCCTTTTAAAAAAAAAAAAACTGATCCATGAATATGGAGTGAATTTTGTTCCATTATTGTTGTAAAAAAAAAGAACACCTTATGTAAAAGAAAATTAGAAAAAAATGCAACCCAGAGATGAAACTTTGAAGTTTCTTTGCTGTTTTCTCAGATCATATTTTCTCATCATTTTTAAACTTGATTCTATTTATTTTTATTTATTTTTTTGCTTTTTTGTTTTACAAACCGCATTCTTTTTTAACTGCGCTATACAGATCAAACTCTTCACTTTTGGGGGGTGGTCTGTGCTCAGGAGTGAAGTAGCTTTTGTATTGGTCTGCAGTGACGTTAGTAACAAAATTTTTTTTGGTCAATGTGCGTTTCATTTATAATGGGCTTGAAGAGAAGAGAATTAGATCTGAAAAAGGCAGTTTGAAAATAATTATATTCATAAAAATCAATCTGAAAAAAGAGAAGTTTTAGAAAAATAGTACTCGGGGGGGAAAAAAGTGAAAAAAAAAAAAATAATAAAAAAAACAGCAGTTACAGTTCAAAAACTTTTTTGATTAAGATTTTCGTTTTTTTCCCGGTTTTTCAAATTTCCTTTTACAAAACATGTTCTTATTTTGTAACGGTAATGGAACAAAATGAACACCTAAAAAGTGAGTAATTTGCTTAAATGATTTTAAATATATATATATAAGTCATTCAATAATTGGTCAATTTAAATCTGACCCTTTTACCACATTTTTAATTTGTTGTTTTCTCTGGGATTGGCATCAAATTTGATTCAGAGCAAGATAAAATTGTATTTTATTGGTCTCAGTTTCCCCCAAACCCTTTACTCATCGCTTGAACCTCCTCCCTACTCTGCAGGAGCTCAGGTGGACCAGTCGGTGTTTGAGGAGCTGATCAGGGAGCGTTTACCGGAGCTGGCGGAGCAGGTCCCGGATCTGTCCACGCTCTCCTCCGTCTCCCTCTCTTGGTTTCTCACCCTCTTCCTAAGCGTCCTGCCCTTTCAGAGCGCTGTCTGTGTGGTGGACTGCTTCTTCTACCGGGGGATCAAAGCTATCTTCCAGCTGGGTCTGGCTGTGCTGGACGCCAACGCTGCCCAGCTGTCTGAGTGCACAGACGACGGACAGGCACTTATGATCCTCACAAGGTGGATTCTCTCCCTCTGACTATTTTAATGTTCTCTGTTTCTGTATAACTCTATAGAGAAGCTGTTTATGTACTTTAGCTGAGGTTTTAAGTCAGAATCCCAGATTAAGAGCGACTAACCCTCCGTCGCTATCTGTCCTCTGCAGTTTTTTAGATCAGGTTGGAAAAGAGGATTCGCCTTCATCGAGCCCGCCTGCTGCAGAAGAAAACAGCTGCAGTGACCCCGACATCCCTCCAGTGAAACACATAAACATCACTGACCTCATCCATGAGGCTGTCGGAGTGAGTGTTGCAAAAATATAATCGAAATATTTTATTAGTGTAATAAGCTTTCCTGTTCCTCTTTTAAAATTAAATTTAAAACCAATTTTGTTTCATAAAATATATAAAAAACAGATCTTTTTTTAATTCACCATGAAGAAAACAGCTAATGAGCAAATTCTGTTTTTTTTTTTTTTTACGTTTCCTTTGGGCTCTGTGAATATAGATTTTAATACCCTAGCGGCACGTTAAAGAAGACAGGAGAATCCCAATAACATTACAGTAAAGAAAATTTAACTGCAGTGTAGAAAGTTTGGCTGAGATGAAGCTTCAGTCAATTTAGCAAAAATCAAAATAAGAAACATAACAGTGGCAGATAATCAATAAGTAGCCTAATAATTATAATCTCATACCGGCTGTTTTCAACTGTTTATAAACATGAAAAAGATTGTGAGTATTATATTGTTACTTAAACTTAGATCAGAGAGGCTCCACAGGTTCTGGTGCTTTGGCTCCCCCGCAAAAAGGAAAAACAGATATAAAGTTTTGGATTTCTTAATGGGGAATATAATCTGTCCTTTCTGCACCAATCCTATAAATCCCGTTCTTTCACAGCAAAGAAATAAATAAAAGGTCCCACTGAGCACCGTGCTGAGCTGAGAACAGATACATCTTCAGCTCTTTGTATAATGGATGGCAGATCTGCCACAAACCAATTAGAGCTAAACCTGCATAACTGAGGCTTATGGATCATTTTCTGCCTCCACATTTTCCTCCTCTTGGATTATTTCCTCATCCACCTGTATCAGTCTATGATGAGCTGATAAGAACATTTTGCCCTTTGTTTAGTTAACATATTTATCCAAGTAAAAGTTTTACATTTATTTATTGACTTTGTTATTGGACTGATTTGATAGTAATTTTGAGGCGTCGGGATTAACAAGTAGATTGTGCTGCAGAACAGATAGTTTTGTTTGTTTATTAATTAAAGCTTGCGGCACATGTCCATCATCCATCAGACGGAGGTATTTTTTATGGCATCTCATGTGAATGAGAACTATAGAGGCCCAAACAAAAAAAAGAATCCATATGCTAGACCTCAATTATTTTTTTTATATGTTCATTTTTGTGTGGAAATAACAAATAAGTCTATCGCAGGGTAGAAAATTGATGCACATGTACAGCAGTACATGATCTAATGTAACTTATAGTTTTTTTTTATTTCATTTGTCAGAAAGTTCATTGACTGCTCTAATTTTGAAAAATATGAATTTTTTTGTCAATTATTTTATGGTCCAGGCTTTACAAAGGCTAACATACAACACTTGAATGGTTAAAGCAGGGGCTTGAACCAGCAACCCACCAGTTTCAGGAGAAACCCCTAAGTTCTGAGGCACAAAATTGCAAAATCTCCTAATTCCTCTTGCAGAACATCTTCCTCCTCTTCTACTTACTTGTGATATTTGCAGCTTGTGAAATAAATGACTACATTCTGTCTTTTAAAAAGAAAAAAAATGCTTTTTGTTTCTGTACTGGTTTCAAATATTTTTTCTTATTTTATTGGTTTAACTAAAGACATGCTGTCTCTTATACACATCTTTTATATGTTCAATTTTGTGTGAAAATAACAAATAAGTCTATCGCAGGGTAGAGAATTGATGCAAGTACATGATCTAATGTAACTTATAGTTGTTGTTTTTTTATTTCATTTGTCAGAAAGTTCATTGACAGCTCTAACTTTGAAAAATATGAATTTTTTTGTCAATTATTTTATGGTCCTATGGCTTTACAAAGGCTAAGATACAACACTTGAATGGTTAAAGCAGAGGCTTGAACCATGCAACCCACCAGTTTCAGGAGAAACCCCTAAGTTCTGAGGCACAAAATTGCAAAATCTCCTAATTCCCCCTCTTCTACTTACTTGTGATATTGCACCTTCTGAAATAAATGACTACATTCTGTCTTTTAAAAAAAAATGCTTTTTGTTTCTGTACTGGTTTCAAATATTTTTTTCTTATTTTATTGGTTTAACTAAAGACATGCTTAATATATTTCTAGTGTTCTACTGTGACCAGATAAGCATACCCCGTCAGAACCAGCATACCTATAGTCAATATGCATGCGCAAGATGTCAGATTGTTTACGAAAAATAGACTTTAAACTAGCTCAACAGGCATGTATTCCTTTAGTCATTTACAAAATACAAACTATTTAAGGTCAGATCATCATACGCTTCGAAAAAACACCATAAAGTAAATATTTTTTTTTAACTAACAGTTTACAGTATCTGTATTAAACTGAAGAAATCCGCTGCTATAAAATCAGTGCTCTCTCTGGTTTGCAGGTGTCGTTACCCCGGCAACCACTTAGCATTTCCAGTCTTCCCTTTGCTTTCTAGACTTCAAAGTAAAAACAAATAATGGAGCTTTGCAAAAATAGCCTGTTGCCTCTGCAAAAAGTTACAGTCTACCAAAAGCAAATTTGCAGTTATTAGTGATACTTTGAAAAAGAGCATAAATGAAAGTTTTTGGAACACACTAACACATTCAGGTTGAAAGTATATAGTTATTTTTAAAGCAATCTAAATCGTGTTTAAGGTCTAGAAATGTTTTTTATTTATTTTTTTTACCAGACGGAGAGAGGCTTATAAACTGAAAAATAAAACACTTTAAACTCTGTGAATGTGGGGACAATAAGGAAAGGCTTTTGTGTGTTTGCATGTGGTGTAACTCATAGAACAGGTGGCCAATAGACAATAAGGAGGTTTCAAAACATCAAGCAATTAAAAAGAATAGATAATTGATTCTGTAATAAATGGCAGCCCTGAAAGTGTGGACAATTACTAAAGAAAACCCTAATTTACTCAAATGAATTATTCTAATGAAAATACTAAATGTTGGTAGGTATAAATATGTCCTCTGTGTAATTGTTTAAGGAAGCAGGATGTTGGAAGTGAGTTTTCCTGAGTTAATTTACAATAGGAAAAGGGGTGTGGCTAAAAAAGTAAAAATAAATGATCTTGTTTGTGCTTTTCCATGGCAGAAATTTAGAGACCTGACTGTGCGGCAGATTGAGCGCCTTCGCTGCCTGCACCGGATCCGCGTGCTGCAGGCCCATGAGGACACCATCAAAGAAAACACTGTGAGAAGATTGATTTTTATCTTTTAAAGCCATTCATTATTTTTCCTTGTTTGACATGTCTGGCTGCTATTAAAGACAGCAGCTGTTGCTATTATGCTTAAATGGCATTGTTGTTTTTTTTTTTTGGTCAAATTACAGCAGCTAAAACCTTTAGACTTAAAAGTGTGGAGCTTTGGAGTGCTGATCTTGATTTGAATTTAAACCTCTCCAAAACAGACATACTACTCATTAATATGGTCATTTGGTTAAATTAAGGTTAACCAACAGGTTAGACAGACATTAAAGTTTTTTTTCGGCACGTCAGCTGTTTAGTTAAGTATCAGTTATTCAGCTCCTGTTGAAGATCAATACATTTTTGGAATGATCAGCTCTGTCTGTTTGGACGTCATCTTTGTCCTCTCTGTGTTGGCCTGCAGCTGCGGCTGATATCAGTGGAAGTTTCCATCACTCCTGAGAATCTATCTGACCTCTATGACCTCTTCAAGGTACTTTCTAATTCTTTTTATTTTTTCTAAATATTTTATAAGTGATTTTCTTTTGAGTGTTTTTATTGCCTCGCCTGCCAGACAGAGCATTTCATCAGCCTCTACTGGGGTGACCGCAGCTCTGCAGCTGCAGCAGAGGCTGCCGCCTGGCAGTACGGAGAATCCGGTCGCTCTTTTGTGGAGCGTCAGTATCGGCTGGACCGACCGCAGTTCAAAAGTCTGTACGGGCTGCTGGTGCCGTGGCCGACCGGGTCGAACCAGCACACAGACACTCTGGGCAACCGTACCTTCACCCTGTTGGCCCAGGACCGAGACAACCTGGTGACCTTCAAGGAGTTTGCCAGCTGGCTTGGTGGGTACAAGGAGAGCAGAAGCTTTTTAATGGACCCCAGATACTTTCCCTGCTGATGGTTTTATTCATTTTTTTCTTTCGTTTACAGACACTTTGTATTGTGGGGAACTAAATGAGAAAATAAGGCTTCTGTACCGCCTCCATATTCCTCCAGGTGATTATCTGTGAGCATGATGTAAGAATGAGAGTTTGTAGAAGCTGTAAGGAGTTGACAGTGATGTCTCCCTCTGTGTATCTGTATACTTGTAGCACTGACAGAGAGCGAGGATGAACCGTCCCTCAGAAGCCCCCTGCTGTCCACAAACAGGCCTCTTTATGTTAACAAGAACACTCCTGGTTGGTCTAAACACATTTTCCTTCTATCAGAATCTGCATGAATCTATCAAATCGATGAATTTTTGATACTTTCTACAGCCTTCTATTATTTTCAGTGACATTATTTGAGGAAAAAGAGCAGAAACCAGAGAAGGGACTAATGTTGGGATTGTTATAGAAGC